TCCAGGGCTTCTCTAAAATACATTATTATTGCTTCAGCCAACTCTGAAAAAAGACAAACAGAAATAGAGACCCACAAAGTCATGATGGAGTGATGTTGGGGTACACCCATCAGAAAGACAAGGATTATTAAATCATATGGCTTCCTCTCTGCTTACCAGTTCTATTTTGTATGTGAATACGAGGATTATTTTTTCTTTAATTTTTTAATGTTTATTTATTATCGAGAGAGCATGAGCATGGGAGGGGTAGAGAGAGTAGGAGACATATAATCTGAAGCAGGCTCCAGTCTCTGAGCTGTTAGCACAGATCTCGTCGCGGGACTCGAACTCACAAACCAGGAGATGATGACCTGAGCCGAAGTCAGAAGCTTAACTGACAGCCACCCAGGCACGCACCCCTGTGAATTCGAGGATTATTTAAAAGTTTGGGGTAAAGACTTAATGTGGCTTTCTTCCTCTTTTTAGGTGTCTTACTCAGAAGGAGAAATATTTTTAGGTGTTTCTTAATAAGGGTATATAAAAATTATTGGTACATATAAAATATTACTGGATGGTGCCAGCTCAGAGGTAGGATGATGGATTTCTGACAAAGACTTGTTATGAGCTCAATGTATTTTAAAGGGTGCTCAAGCAGTGCTTTGTCACACACAAAAAATGTTGGCTGTGCTCAAAATTTTGATTTTGTCCTCTTTGTGCAGTAAAAGATGAGAGTGACAGCAGTAAGCACGGATATTCAAGAGATGCAGCACCATTTGAGGCTAGTTATTAGGATGTGTCTGGCTTAGGAGATGTGTAATTACAAGGGGTTTATTTCACAATTGTTCTGAATTGAGAGCATTTAGAGCTCAATGCAGTGTTTGTCTTAATACAGAGATATGGACCCTCAGGAAAAGTAAGCTAATGGTAAACACAAACCAGGGAGTTAATATTTGTTCTCATTGGTATTGTTGATTGCCTAACAAATCCTTTGTGGGCAGTATACATTCAACAGTTCTACACAGTATATGGGCACTAAATTACAAAACTGTTTATGCGACTAGTATTTTAAATTGGTACTTAGGCTGGGAAGTTTTATCAA